GAAGCACCTGATCCGTGAATCAAACATAGTACATAAAAAGCACAGTGCTAAATTACGGTAACTTCTTTCGTTTCTATTTCCAAAATAGCAGCACTATATCAATACCTTTAGTATAAGTTTCTGTGATTGGAACAATAACTAAGTTCTTTTTAGGGTAAGTACATGAACCAAATGTTAATATGCAGTTTTGYACGTCCATAGGCCAAGTCTTGACGTTCTGAACACATGTACTGCTGAAGGTAGCCGGCGAGAGCCAAGTCATGGAGCCTTTGCGCCAAGCGTTGATATTAGTGACAAACTTTGTTGGTCCTCCAGCAAGCCTCTCGGTTCTGTCTGCACTGAAACACAACCAAACATTAGAAACACTTGACTTATAAGACTTCTTAGTTTTGCACTAGTCTCCTTCATATCCTCACCTTTTTTCGGGCTTCCTGAGGGACAGGGAGTCCGACAAAAGAGGAGACTGCGAAGGAGACTTAGTTTGCACTTACTTGTTGATCAATGCAATATCTGGTACCCAGACTTCTTTTGGTGAAAATACTGTATAACCTATCTTCTTGAAGTTGGTTGAATTCCAGGCAAGAAATTCATCATACCATTTCTACACAGAAAAAAAATATAACAGTGTCATGTAGGATATATTTGGTAGTTTTCACACTCAATATTATTCATTTATTCAAGGGCTTCTACTACAGAGAGATTAAGCGGATACAACAGAGGTATTAAGTTCAGTAATGGATGACGGAAGATTTATTCCTTGGCTGTCACGTACCTGCCACACCCACGCGTCGATTTTCAAGTTTTGCTCTTTTGTATTCTAGACCAGAAAAAAAATCAAATACATTTTCATGAATTTAAGGCAAAGGAATGATATTATGTTGACGATATTATGCTGTATTACTTTATTATTATTATTCGTTTTAATTTACGGGGTTTTTTTAATTAATAACTCTGTTTCATAAACATCTTAACATGCTAATAATATATCCTACCACTTCCACTAAATTAGTGATTGAAAGTCTAAATTTGACTTCTAGGTATTGTGTATCGCCATATTTCACTGGTCCTACAATGCGGTCGTAATCTTTCAGCACATGTTTTCTAATTTCTGCTTTAACTTTGTTGTGGCTTAAGTCGTAGCCTTGACCTGGAAATATATGAAAAATAAAGTTATATCAATGTATTGTTTTCCACTCTTTATTTGTCTTAACTAGACTGGCATGAGACTGGTGAACGCTTGAGATAACGTAGGGGTTGTACATTAACACGTATAGGAAATCCTCTAAAGCATATCGTTTAGCGAAACTACCCAAAATTATGAGTCTTATGGCTGTCCGGATTTTTTAGAGCAGCGGGTTCTTGAACACATCGACATGATTATTTTTGTAACATGATTATTTTTGTATAAACGCGCGCGCATGAAAATATTCGGTTAAAAAATCCATAAAACTCAGCATGAAATCAGAATGAAAGTTAGCTAGGAGCTAGGTCATATAAACTATTTATTTCATGACAAATTTCTTTCTGGGTTTCAAGTACGTACCTAGAGTGCTTGCATTTGATCAAGTGGCTTTAGTAAATACAATGATAAAAGTAATTGTAAATAGACACTTTGGCTGCGCATTCATATTCCTAAACCACCATTGTATATTTTAAGCCTCTGTCACTACTTTGCCATTGCAAAGATAAATCTCAACTCACTCATACATCAATACTAACAACAATACTATATACTTACAGATGTGAATTGATACTAGCACTACACCAGTAAGTAGAATTAACTCCATATTGTATCCACTTGCTATATTATGGCTGCATTCTCTTCAAATCGTTTGTTCTTATCATATTCCCCTGTGCAAAGAGAATAAAATTGCCACCTGTAGGATTTGACTTCTATCCAAAAATTCCTTTTATTATTACAAATTAATTTACGCATTCTGTCATCCTGTTTTTTTTAATGTAATTTTTGCGTAAGGACAATCTCATAAATCTTGCAATACTACAGCTAGTGGCTCGACTCGCTGTTGACTAATGTAGGTGTGAGAGTAGAGGAAATAACGACTCTCCCTAGGCTTACTATATATCAATAATACACGGACTGCAATAACTGGAAATCTCCCAGTTTCCTGGAAAAATATGCGATACAGATCCAGACACTCAGACACTTTTAAGAATAAATTATAATCATTCACTCCATCTTGGCAATATTTTCTTATTTTTTCTTGGCGGTCGCGAGCTCAGTAGGTGGAAAATCATGTTTTTTTGCAACAAATCCCGTAGTTTTAGCCGATAACTGCTACAAGATGCCCTGCAGACACTAAAAAAAATTCAGCTATGAGAGGCCATAAACAATCGCGATTCATGTCTTGAATAATTTCATTATTTACGGTGTTTCATTTTTTCTTCAAAATTTTTTTGTTGGCATTATTTAAGACTCTAAGAAAATTCACTAGTACAAAACAAGAGCAAATAGAGAAATCTAAAATGTGTTTTAACCTAGGTGATTTCCTCCGATTTCTATCTTCTGTACTTTTGCAGCTGTTTAAACCTCCTAGCCCATGTATTTTTAGCTTCAATTCAATGAATTTTTTGAACATCTTAAAAGTTTACAGGTGTTTAGGGCGTTTTATCTGAAAAAAATGTTTACCTTGTGTCCGTAATAAACTGACTTGAAATCCAATGAAATCCACCAAAAACAACGAGAAACTTCGGCTCTCACTCTATTCAAGCGACACTAAACAGGACGCTGCAATAATAAAACTTTGTCGGGACAGTTTCCTAGTTGCATTAAAGCTATAAAGAATAAAGCAGTCAAATTGTGTCGAGTTACTCACAAATTCTATTGTTAAACAGTCCATTGTCTGATACACCTTAGGGTGTATATCACCTCTAAAATGCCGCCGCACTAATTATATCGACAATAACGTTATATTTGGTTTTTAGCTTTTATTATAAGCTTAGGTGATTGATCGATAGTTCCAATTTCTGCGCGTCCTTATAGACAATAGACTTTTCTAGTAATATCTGAAAAGCGGCGTATTGCTATAGAAATACCCTTCATATGAAATGATGAAAACGGTAAT